GTGGCTTTTGGTGTTGAGTTCTAATTTTATTCCCTTGTGGTCAGAGAGAATGCAAGGTATAACTTCAATGTTTCTGAATTTAGACAAGTCAAGGTACTTTTTGTAAGGATTGAAACCATTTATTTATATTTCTTGGTTTTCCCCAGTCATTGCACATCACTCCTAAATACTCTGCAGGTACTTAGAGTATATTTGTGCTGATCAACACGAACTTTGTTCTGGAAAAGGGCCATAGAACACATATGTAAGAGGTGCCTTCCTTTCAGGAAAGGTAAGATCAAGGAATGATCTTGATGTATTAAAGGGATGTTTTCCTTTTCTATTTCTAAGTAAAGATAATGTGTAGGTGAAGCCAGGTTTCTTTTTAGTTTTATCCTTTTAAAGATAAGTCACCTTAGGCTAAGTGATTCATTCAATTCTATTCTAGTTGTGTTGTACCGACAGTCAATTTGTATGTAAACGTTCTTATAGAATACAGATCTCCATGCACTGGTTAAATGTCACACATTGAAGAAGTGCCTACTAGTCTTGGCACTGAGCCTAGTATGGGGTATATGGATGTGAAACAAACACAGCCTTGTACTTGAGAGTCTTATACTCTTGCAGCTAGTAAAGCACACAGGCAGGCAGAGCATGACCTGTGTGACTTGGGCTTTCTACTTAGTGTAGGGCCCATGACCTCTGCTCAAAAGTCCCCTCTTATTCTGGGGTGATTGTCAAAGTGAACATACTTGGAGGCATGATAAGAAGTATCTTGTCATTACCATGGAAATGATGCAATTAAAATGGAGGAAAAATTGGTATCAAAATTGATATCAAAAGCCTCTGGTCTTTATACATGTGTCTCCTTAGGGAATCCTCTGTGTCCTGAAATTGGGTTTTCATTACAATAATCTTAGGAGAAATCTTGATTGATCGTAAAATTCTTTTAATGCAGGAAACCTTTGGATGTTTATAAGAAACCATCAGGAAAATGTTTTTTCCAGGGGGACCATGGATTTGACAATAAGGTGAACAGCATGCAGGTAGGAACTACATACGATGTGGAATTGTGTTGTAGCGGCACTTCCAATAGGATGGCAGACTATGTGAATTCGCATGGTCTTCGTTTATAGAGGAAGACTTGCTGCTGGGTATCGGGAATGATTAACTCTTTTTGTTATTTCTTTTTGGAAGACTGTGTTCGTAGGTTATGGCCCAACATTTAAGTACAAGACTAAAGTGCCTCCATTTGAAAACATCGAACTTTACAATGTTATGTGTGGTAAGTGACTTATTGAATCAAAACCAGTGCAACAGTCTTCGGTGAATGTAAGAACTTCCTCTACGTCAGAAAAAGCAATGAGGTGTCTATTTTCTGAGACCTTCTCCTCTCCCTGTGGAAACGTATTCTAACTTGCCTATTGGTGCAAAGGACAGAATACCATCCCCATCTAAGGCTCCTTTGTCTCCTTTCAACAGTTGACTAATGGGGAGTTTTCATAGAGTTGCTCTTGGCAGCCTGTGGCTGAACCAACATAGCATTACAGTTTGACACCACTGGTCAGAGACCTGATGAAGCAAGAACTCCTCATGGCGTTTTCTCCAACCTCTCTGTCTCACCTTGCAGCCCAGTTAAACCTTTGCCAGCTAGCATCCTGGCCAGCTATTTATGTGCTCCTAATTATTTTTCTTCCTTGAGCTTCTAGTTGCTGAATGAGGACAGCTTTTCCTATTTAGTAAGGGAGTGCCAGGCTGGTGGTTAGAGGAGGAGTCTGTAAGTCGGGTCTCCTGGGTTCTTTTCCCTTCTTGGCTGCTAATTCTTCCCCTGTCCTGCCTCTCTGTTTAGGCAAGTCACTGTGTGCCCACTTGGCAACCATTCATGTGCTCTGAAATCAGCCTGCTCGTCCGTCCCCCGTGGCACCTTAAGGAACAGAGCCCAAACCTCCTCTTGTCCTTACACCTCTTTTGGGTGCATTAGAGGGCAGGCTGTGGTTACTTATTGATCATGAGTCTCAGTGCAGGATTTGTGATTAAAAAGTCCCTGAGAAGTACAGGAAAGCCTTGATAGTGGCACCCCTAGTCCCTGAATTGTGACTATCAAACACATAACCAGTCGCTAAGTAACAGACATTAGGCAATAGCTAAGTAACAAATACATAGTCAATAGCCAAGTAACAAATACAGAGGCAATAGCTAAGTAACAAATACAGAGGCAATAGCTAAGTAAGCTCTGTTTTGGAGAATGCTTCTCTGTGTTCAGGGTCCAACAATGCATATGGTTATTTTAGGAAGCTATGAGAAGACATTGTGAGGTGAGACTGGTTTAGGAAGTGTGAAGGGAGTTTCTGCCCTCCTAAATGTGGTTTTATCCAATTGTCATTTGTATTCAGAGTTCACAAATTTTTATGAGGTGCCATATGTCATTTAAAAAAAGTATTTGAGAAGTACCTAGATCCTTTTGTTTCTTTTTTTTTCTAAAATCAGATCTCCTGGGATTGAAGCCAGCTCCTAACAACGGAACCCATGGAAGTTTGAATCACCTATTACGTACTAATACCTTCAGGCCGATCATGCCAGAGGAAGTTACCAGACCGAACTACCCAGGGATCATGTACCTTCAATCTGACTTTGACCTGGGCTGTGCCTGTGATGATAAGGTAGAGCCAAAGGTAGAAATCATATTTATGTTTTTCATGGAGGAGCCGCTTGGGTGTACAACAGCATTGTCCAATAGAACTTTCTGTGATGATAGAAATGATTTCTACCTCTGCTGTCCAGCCTGGAGCCACTGGGTGATATGACTTAAGGTTTAAAACTATCTTGTCATTATTTGGAATTTAAATGTAATTCACCATCTGCAGCTCAGGGCTACCAAACTGGAGAGCACCGGTATAGTACATGAAGAGCAAATTGCTATTCTGTGAGGTTGCAGCTCCAAGCCAGAGTTCTTTCTTTTGTTCAGTCATGGATCACATGTCTATTAGTGATAGTCCTGACAGGAATCAGGTGTCCATATCAAAGAGGTTTTGAAAGACACATCATGGGGATTATTTTAATCATGTTTAATGAGAAAATTATTTACAAAGACTAGGCAGGCTGGATGGAAAGTAACCAGTATGGATGGATGGTAAAGTGTGAGGGATTAGCAGGGTACCTCCAAAACATGAAAGAGGAATAATAGGAAAAAGTTAGTAGAATGGCAAAGAGACAAATAGGAAAAAAACACTTATGATGTTTGGTTGATGAGAGCAGCCAATACACTACAACTTGAGAGAGAGAAGGGGAATATGATCCCCCCCACCTCTTCTAGTGCTTAATAGGAAGGCACAGGGAAAGTTTGCTCTCTGATGTAGTTTCTTGAAGTCAGCTTCCCAGGATATAGAACAGGGTAGGCATACGTGTCACATGGATGGAGTGGTGTTCTTGCAAACACAGACTCTTCATTGCACCATGTTTGGATAGTGTCGAATCCTAAACAAATGAAAAATATTAAGCAATAATTTACTGGTGGAATTTTCTATTGATTAGAGACGAATAGGCTGCCAATCAGAGTTTCAATAAGCAAGACTTCTACACTAAGTTGGCACAAAGCCAGCTCAAAGCAAGAAAATCTGATGTTGGTTTGTATTGTTTTGTTATATACATTATACACATTGATATTAGGCCTCAGCAAAATGGAAAATAAATATCCCACTACTCAATCTCCTTCCTTCACCAGTTGCTTCCCTCCTAGGATTCCTAGGGGACTAGACGTCACAGTGTGGCAGGATTCCCACTGGAGGAATATAGTTTATTTCTTTTCTTCATCCTCCCATTTCATTTTGATCTCCTTCTTCTGCCTTCTTTTCACAAGAACCAAGAAGGCAGGCTATGCTCAGAACTCAGCTGGAGGCTGAGACCTTGAATTGCCAAGGTCAATATGAAGGTCACCTTGTGAAGAGAATCCTAAATACAGTGAATCTTGTTAGTTGTATCTTGTTCTCTGATTTAGTCCTTATCTAGAGAAGAAGCAGTCTTTGGGATATCTTCTCTTAAACTAGTTTAGAGAAATTCTGGATTGTTTTTATTTGTGGATGTCTTAAAAAAACTTTCCATTAAAAATAAAAACAAACCTAAACATATAGAAAGGCTATTGAGGTTAGTTCAAGCTCAGTGTACCAAGACAGAAAAAAGAAATCATAACAGATTAAGTGGATACTCTTGTGTTCTCTTCCCCATCCTTCCTTCATATCCAGTTAACTGAGGGTAAGTCTCATGCATGTCTGTGTATTTTCACTCTCTATATATGTACCTCTTAAATAACGTATGAAGTAATAATCATGGTATGTCTCCTAAAATAACTTGTGCTATAATTTTTCATGTTAACAATTGTTCTAAGTATGCTATGATAGTACCCAAATCTTGCAGTTACTTGAGATAGACTTCTGTGTATTAATACATGAAGTTATCACTCATTTTTGTTTGTGAATAATTTAATTATATAAATACAGCTTACTGACCTTCATTTTTCCTACTTAAGAACATTTGGTAATTTCCAAACATCTCTTAAAAACAATGCTGAGATGTTATTATGTGTAAAGGTGTTTTTGTCCACAAATACTAGACTACCTCCAGGGGATATTGGGATGGAAATGTTGCTGAATGATTTTTGTTCTGTTTTACTGATTTCTGTTCTGATTTGCTTTTTAGCTTTGGAAAAAGTAATGTCATAGTTTAGTTTTGGAAGTCATTTTAGTATACCTAGGGATTCAAAGAAACACAGAAACAGTATTATAATTATTGTAATTAATTTGTGTGCATGTGCCTAACGTAGCCATCAGGGTACAAGAAAGAATATTTCTTTTTTAATATATATATTTTAAGAAAGAATATTTCTGATTTGCTTTCTTCTTTTCTTTCCTGGTTTTCACACATGAAGAACAAGTTGGATGAGCTCAACAAACGCCTTCATACCAAAGGGTCTACAGAAGGTAAGAGACTGTTTTCAAAAACACAATGAGATAATGTTGGCTTTTCGTTTATAGAAGACTTTCTATGTATTCCATAGGGTAAGCACAAAATTTCTAATTGTACTTGCAATTGTTATTTGTCTTGAAAGTGATTTTTGTATGCATCTAGCGAAGGGTTGTTCTATGTACAAAAGGTGCCACAGTGTCATCGAAAATTCTACTGGTATTTGTATTGTCCTTAGACAATCCATTGGGGATCTAGTGTGTCATATTAGTGAAGGTTGCTAATGAGAACTCCTGTAAAGAAAATGGTTGTCATGCTTCTAAGTGCTTGTGGCTGTTCCACTACTGAATCTCACCCACTTTAGGAGTCCATGTATATTGCCTTAGAGAAACCAAACCAGAACTCTGTCTTCATGTAGAGGATCATCTTGAGCTCTGATTCATTCTTCTCTTATTTTACATATAATGTTAACAAGCATGTATTGGGAAATGCTTATACAGTTAGCATATGACAGAAACAAAGAGGATCTTAGTGATTTGTAATAAGAAAGATACATATATTGCTCCCATTTTAGTTCACTGACTGTCGCTTAGTGTGGCTTTGCTCCATGCATGCTCTATTCTAGAATCCTGGCTGACAGAGTATGTTGGGATGATGGCAGCACACAGAGCTGTGCACTGGGACTTGGTACTTCTGTTGTATGAGGCAGGTCACTAAGCAAAGACAAGCACCCAGTACAAACTATATAGGGAAGTATATTATGTCCATGGAAACTCTGTGAGTGTCCACAAAGAGTTGAGTCTGCTAGTGACATAGCAATGAGCAGGAACAGTAACTCATTAGGAACATGAGTACAGTCTACCATGAAAATTCTTCTTTCTGATTATGAAATTCCAAAAAAGTAGAAGAAGAAGAAAAAAGACAAAGCCTAACAAAATGGAGACTACAGGTTGCTATCTACAATAGGCAGCTTGGTGAAGCTTCAAGGGAAAGAATGTATTAAAGAAACACAGGGAACCCATGCCTGTAGCCCAAGTCAGGCTGTACAGATGCATGCACTCCAATTCTCTGGGGACCGCCACTTGAATTATTACCTTCCATGCGATTCTGTTTATCATATGTGTGCTTTCCAATCTGATTAAGCAGAGGTTGGGCAAATGAGCAGAAGATTTTATTTACTTTTTTTTTCTCTTTATAAAGATCGTCATCTGTCCCCCATCTCCCTTTCCTCCCTCACCACCCTCCTCCTTCTTTGTTTGATCTCAGAGCACAGAGACCTTTTGTCAAATCTTTGGATGAACCCAGCTTTCAAGATAAGTCTTAGTTGGTAAAAGCTGTCTCATACAAACTCTACATGTGATACACAATCTCTGGCACTTAACCACCAGTGGACTGGAGTGATATTGTAATTAGAAAAATTGAGGTCTTGCCAGGATCCAAGGCTAGGGAGTCTATGATTTGAGTTTTTCAAATATTTAGTCACTACTGCAAATAAATAGCACGGAGATGATTTTCTCCTGAAAGGGCACATTGATGCATTGTTGATTATGACAGTTTTTTTTTTAAACAGACTCATATGGTTTTGCTGATTCAAACTCTGGTTGCTTGTAGTGATAAAACATTCTTATCTGTGGAAAAAAATTCTTCATTTAATTTGTTGGGGAGTGTTTTTATGTGAAAAAAATAAGAGCCCTACAACTCAGCACAAACAGCAGCCTCAAACCTCCACATATGAAAGCAAGAGGCATCTTCTTAGTGTATTTGTGGCTGTCACGGGTAGCAGGAGCTGTAGTTAGTGATGTCCCTTGTACATTGAGGGTCTTGTGTGTGTGTGTGGGCGTGCATGTGTGTGTGTGTGTGTGTGTGCACTGATTCTAGGGCTTGAATTCAGAGTCTATGTACTGTCCCTGAGCTTTTTTTTTGTTCAAGGCTAGAGCTCTACCACTTGAGCTGCAGTTCTACTTCTGGCTTTTCTGGTGCTTAATTGGAGAGAGGAGTCTCATGGACTTTCCTGCTTGTTTGACTTTGAACCGCATTCTTCATATCTCTACCCCCCACTGAGTAGCTAAGATTATAGGTGTGAGCCACTAGCACCTAGCTCACTGAAGAATATTTTTATGTGACTAAACTATAAAGTTTGTGTGTTTTCATGGAAATAAATCTGTGGATACATTCAGCATTTGTTAAGCCAACCCTGAGCCAATGTTGGATTGGCTCTGGTTTTTCTGTGACATCTGCACAAGTGTTAGTTTCTAATCTATGGCTTCAAAATGATATAAAATATTAGGTGAGAAGTATAGTAGGAAAAGGCCTCGGTCTGCTGATAATCTGGACCTTAAGGATACAGCGGAAACCTTAAAAGTATTACATGAAATAAAGTATTGATATCATTATTGTGTTATACGTAAAGCCTTTCTGTGTTTAGATTCTAGAATATGTGCAAACTTCAGAGCCCTCCCATTTTTCTTGGTCTTTGTCTCTGTTTTTTTTTTTTTTTATTAGTTGTATCTCACTTGTTTCTTCAGCAGCAAAGCCATATTTTCTGGGTCTGAGTGCTCTCAAGTCTTTATGATGTTTTTTCGTGTGATAAAGTCCTGTCTTCCATTTAAAATATTCATTGTCTGCTGTGAATGAGAATCGTTGTGGGTGAGTGCCTTGTGTTGTTCAGAGCCATCACTTCCCCTTTCTGTACCTGTTCGGTCTGTATTTAGTCTCACAAAACATTTCCTACACCTAAAGTTCTACACAGATGGGAAGCAGGGCTATTGGTGCAATTAGTTGTTGAAAACACAGATGGTGGTTGGTAGTTTTTCAGAGGGACACATTTGTGGATGTTTTAATGACATAGGCTATAAATCACCCAGAAATCTTTGCAAAGCACACATGTGAAAGTTGAACATTCCGATAATGAAACAACCTAGGGATATTTGAAGCTAAGATAGAGGTATAGTAAACTCATCCTAGGCAATATTTTGCTACAAATATTTTAAGCTGTTATAGAATCAAGCCTTTTGCTAGAATGAAGAGGAATGAAAATGTAGTTTCCTAAAATGATGACTATGTTTGCTAAAGGATTTCTAAATAGATGGGAACTTCCACGTTGTTAGTGTTTGTAGGTCACATGTTAACACTTACTGTACCATGAAAACTCATTTTCTTGGAACACTGAATGAATGGGTAAATGAATGAATGAAATGGAAAAATGTTTATCTCCCATAATGGGCAACTCAGGCTCTATAGCCAGGTATGCATTTCATTGTGAGAATAATTGAACTATTTTTTTCACCTTAGTCTTTTCTGCATTTACCTTCCTGAAAAATGTTTTCTATTTCCTTGAGTTTGCACTCCTCTTTATGTGAAAAGAAAAGTCGTTTTAACACCTATGTATTCTTATATGTAATGAGCAGTTAGTTTGGATAGAAACATGACTTAAGCACTCTTAATTCCTACTACTTTAAACCAGAGTGCTGAATATGATTGGCTGTTTTCAATTATAAAATGATACTCCTTCTTTTTTTTTAATTGGTGATGTTAGTTGTACCATAGAAGGACGGTGATGTATTTGTGTTTATCTATGTAGCTGTGTTGGTGTGTGTGATTTCGGGGAGACTTAGAAAATATCAATATATAACTTGTGATTGATAGTGAGATGCAAGATGAATTTGACAACAGATACTGGACTTTAATTCTCTTTACCTAACAATATTCTTTGCTGATGTTGAAGTAGAGCAAAGTCCCTTTATAAACCACTACAATTACTAGCACGAGAAATTTGGGTGGAGATTGAATTTGTTTCTTTATCTACTTTGCTTCCTAACAATGTGAAGATACTGGGCTTCTTGGTTCATATCTGCAATCCCAGCATCCAGATAGAGGAGTGTGAGTTTGAGAACAGTCTGGACTGTACAATGAGTCCAGGCCACATTATGCTACATGGAGAGATCTTGTGTCAACAGACCCTCTCCCCATCACATACACACCACACAGTAGTGTTCCTGGAGAGGCTAACATAATTACAAAGCAATAAAGAGCTGAGTTGAGATCTGACTAGTTCTATATGACATAAAAACCTATATGAGTTCCTCTGAAATTATTTCTTGTTCTAAGTGTTGAAGAACATGTCAGGTGAAAATTTTAATGCATCTCAGGGTTTGGAAGTTGATTTTTTTTCTATGATGGAGCTTGAATTCAGGGCCTGGGCTCTGTCCTTGGACTTTTTCACTCATTCTACCACATTGAGCCTCAGCTCCACTTCCAGTTTTCTGGTGGTTAATTGGAGATAAGCATCTCATGGACTTTCCTGTCTGGGCTGGCTTTGAACTCCAGTCTCAGCCTCCTGAGTAACTAGGATTACAGGCATGAGCCACCAGCACCAGGCTACCAGATGCTTTGATACAAGTATTGTCCCTCATTAGGGATTACTAATGTAGTTGCATTCTATAGGCAGAGTTCACACCCAAAAGAGTTTGTCTTTCATCCTCATAGGTCCTGCTCTAGACTAGCCCAACAGACAGAATCAACCTAGATTCTTCCCAAAAGGCTAAGGAGAGGAAAAAGGAGCCCAAAACATGAGACCTAGAGACCAAGTTCTGTTAGATAGCAATGGAAGTAGCACTGATATGCTCATTCTATCTTGCAGAACTATGGAAACTCGGTATTAAAAAAAATGGCTTATCAACATATATTGACCATGATATTATGTGTTGGCATTGTTGGAGATGGAAGGCTAAGGTAGTGAGTACCTCAAAGTTTCTGTCACCATTATAAAGTTGCTGTTCTTGTGAAAGATTTAGCAGATGAATACAGCATGGTGTTTTAAGGGTTGGAGTTTGAAAGAGCAGGGCACTAATAGAGGCAGTGACTGTACTCCCACAGGAGCAATTGAAATGGCAATGTATGATAATCAGCACTTGGAAGGCAAAAATGAAGAAAGGATACAGGGCAAGGAGGAACCTAGTGTGGAGATCTTGTGGTAAAATTTAAGAGCATGTTATTGTGGGAGTGAATGTTTCAGAAAATAAAAGCAGAGAAAGGATTTCATGTGGCTCCCAGGCAGCTAGCCAGTGGGTGGTAATTATGAATCAGGAAGCTGAGAAGGGAAAAGAAACATAAACTCAAGTCTGCATGACCCAACTTTGGAAGACAAAAAAGCGTACATTCTGGGGAAGTCCACACCACTTAAAAAGATTTATCTGGCCATATTTTGCCAGATGTGGCTATCTGGAGGACCTTGGCATGAAACCGTATGCCAGAGACAGCGTTGTAAACAGGAATGTGGGGCAGGGAGGGAAGGCTGGGCTTGGCATTCTCCAGAATAGGAACAATGCCTGAGAGCTATGGATGAAGCTAGATCCACATCAAGACATCAGAGAGAAGAGATGAACGATGGGTAGATGGGTCCAATTGGACAGGAGACATAGATTCTAATGTTCTATTGCACCTCAAGACTACTTATGCCAATAAAGTCATTCAAAATGTTTTGAAAAGTAAATATCAAAAAGTGGGGGAGTGAGAAGAGACCAGAAGAACGTAATTCAGAGGCAAAGTCTTGTGGTCTATCTAGTCTTGAGGTGAATATTTCAAAGTGTGTATGGCCTGAGACCCATAGACATTTTTTTTTTTTTGGTCTGACTCAATGCAATGTGTGGTGCACCTACCATTTATAAACATGAGTGGAGTCAGTCTGTGACTGAAAACCTGTAATTCTGTCATGCTCTGATGAAAAGATGAAGCCCAATGGTATCTTCACATTTCTGGTTCTTAACTGCAAAGCTTCTTTCTTTGGTGGAACTGGGTACAACAATTTGATCGCAAGACAGAGAAGTCACATTTTGAGTCTTCATTACAAAGCTGGTGACAGTGAGCAGATACATTTCCCCTAAACTTGCAGCCTTGAATATACTTAATAATGTTAGGAAACTGAGCCACGAGAGTAGTAGAGTTTAAAAAAAAAAAGAGAAAAGAGCAGAAAAACAATTTAAACAAACCAGATCAATTAATGGAGAGTTGAGGAAGGATGCCACAGTGACCTTAGGAGAGTCGGGAGACATGAGGCATGGAGCAAAATGGCGGCTAAGATGGTCAAAGGGCCCAAATTGGGTCACAGGGAGCTTGAGAGAGTTCAAAGTGTCTTGAGAGTTCACGATGCAGTTCTGGCAGATCCAGTGATCTATTGTCCAGGTCCTCTCCCCTGCCTCTGGGAATTCAGCCACACCTATCACCTGGGGCAGAGATGGGGTTTTACCTTTAAGAGTTTTCAGGACATCCCCATCATCCACCAAGATGCCAAGATGGTGCCAGTTAGACCCAGTATCTGTATTTCAAAACTACTAAGCTTTAGGAAGATCTGGGTATTTTTTTGGGGGCGGGTGGATGGTGGAGGCAGGTGGGGGGATGTGGGGGAGCAGGTTGAGAGTTGAATTGTCTGCTGGAGGCTGTAGTTGGAATATTAGGAGATTGTCAAAGCCATTGTGTTTTTTCTTATGCTGAGTAACAATGGAGAAAATACAAATCAGATAATGATATATGTGTACTCCAGCTGGATTCCAAAAACTACAGTTGTGTCAAAAAGCTTGGAAATCACAAAACCCAAAGTTTTGAAGCAAGATGAATTTATATTTGCAGAGCCAAAGAGCAGAGATGAAGAAACTACACTGAGGAAAACTTTCCTGATGTCCTGCCAATCTTTGTGCTCCTCTTTTCTTTATGTTTCTCTCTCTTATCTCTTCTATCATCAACTCTGTGATCGTATTACTTGTTTAGCACTTTGAGTGTAACTGAGGTACTATTAACAATTATGCCACAGCAACAGACATAAATTGGGATGTAGGACACACTGGCTTAAATTTGTATGCTCTTTACGGTAGTGGTTATGATTCTTGAACAGATCCTCCACATCCATTCCAGGGGACCACGCAGAGGCAGGCAGGCACAGGAGAAAGATGATTACAAGGTTTATTAGAGGAGCCATATTTCTTCAGGAGAGGGAGTACATGGTGACCTCCACTATCTAAGTAGCAGCAGGGTCTGGGGGTAGGAAGTGAAGTAGATCGGAGCTCAGGTGGGTCTCGGTGGAGAGAGAGAGGGGCCAGCTGTATGGAGGGAACTCCAGGGCTGGGAGTTGCTCAGGGCTGGGTGGAGCTGAGGACCAAAGGTTGGCATAATACTAACAATTCTCTGAGATTTATCACACACTGTAAGATACCTCTGATATGGTGCAGACCATTTTGCATGTCTGTCATGTCTGCCACATTTGTCTTTCCCATTGAACTGTGAGCTCTTGGAGGGTAAGTGTTCTAGCTTAACTATCTTTGCACAGTATATCCATTCTACATCCCAAAGTTTGACATTAAAAAAAATGGTTTAGTCATGTGCAGGTGGCTCAGGCCTATAATCCTTAGCTACTCTGGAGGCTGAGATCACACAGTTTGAAGCCAGCCCAGGCAGGAAAGTGTGTCGTTTATCTTCAATAACCACCAAAAACCCAGAAGTGAAGCTGCAGCTCAAGTGGTAGAGTGCTATCCTTGAGTACAAGGATCATGCCAAAGCCTAAAGCCCCAGGACCAGCACAGACCACACACACACACACACACACACACACACACACACCACACACACACACACACACACACACACACACACACACATACACACAAACATTACAAAAGGAAAAAGAAGGATTTTTCTCTCCCACCCCATGTTTTATGGGGGGAATACATCAATGGTTATATTAGGAAGAAGAGAAATGACAGGATTGATGAGGAAGACTGGAGAATTTATTTCTTTTTCTTTTGGGGTGGAGTATTGTAAACTTTTATTTAAATGATCACATACAAGTTATAAAACACACTTGGAAAGATAGTGTATTGCAGGTGCTTCTGTAACTGCTTTCCTTCTTTCTACCTAACATTTCAAGATTATTTCATACTTTCCTTCCCATTTATTTATTTATTTTATTCTGTACAGAATATTTTGGACAGTGATAAATAAATCATATTATAAATTATAGAGTTTCTCATGATGATAAGAAGCAAGGCGTTGCAAATAAATCAGCCGTGGAGGAGGCCTGGAGGAAGGAAGAGTTGGTGGAGACTTTCAGTTATCCAAACTGTTGCTTTTAGTTGCTGTGCGGAAGGGTGGTGCATGGAGAAACATGGCTGCTATTTTGGTGTCCCCTTAATGGAATAGAGGAGAGGTTAGGCTTGAATCTGAGTTTGGAGGAACATGCTTGGTAAGCATTAAAACTTGAATGATAAGAAACAGAATAGCTTCTCAAGGAATTCTGATACTTTTGCTTCCAGCTGAAACCAGGAAATTCAGAGGCAGCAAAAATGAAAACAAGGAAAACCTTAATGGAAATTTTGAACCTAGAAAAGGTTTGGTTTGAGTTTTGAAGGAAAGTCTGGGTCTGTTTACTGCCCCCAAGTACTACTGTGAACGATTTGCTGGCTTTTAATTTGTTTGTTATATTTCACTTATTTAATATTGTCATATTATGTTTAATTCTTTGGGGTGGGCCTCCAAATTTGGCAGCCCCAGCAGGGCTTTTCCATTTACTGCAATGCTTAGAACAGGCTTGTGTTGCAATCGTGTGTACCATTCTGCCTCAAATCAGCAGTTCTACTTGGGAGGGGTTCGCAAAATATTCTGTGAAGGGCTTGCTCTAGTCTACCCAGAATGGCAACCCTTTAATTAAAGCAACATGTATACATAATTTAATAAGTGATTGCCACAACTGATTTTTTTCCCTATAGAGCAGTAGTTAAAACAGATTTTTTAAAACCACTAATACTTAGGGTACTGTGAATTGCCTAAGTCTCAATCTCTAATGTTTGGGACTACCAAGACCCCCGTTTCTAAGAGTTGATGGAAGGTTTAGCCTATCCAAAGTCAAGCTTCAGGCTTGTGAGTGGAGAATGAAGCATTTTAAACTCCAGTTTCTTTCCTTAAAGAGTAAGTTTTCAGACCTTTATTTTGTTTCCTAAGAGGAGAGCTTTCCCTTGGGGAATCTGACAGACAGCATTTGGGTATTTTAAGTGAGAACTTCTCTCTTCTGTATTTAAATGACTCTCATAAATGCCCACTTATTTTATCTATACATGTTCCTTTAAGTTCCTACCTAAAGAGTTTATCCCCCTTTTGACAAAGCTGCTTACTTTAAATGCTTTTTACCACTCACTGTTGATGCTAAAATAATACATATTTGAGGTGCAATTTGCAAATAGTGACAAGAGTGCCTTCTTCTTAATTAAATCATTGTTTAATCTGGTCAACCCTTTCAGAGGTCAGGTTATTTAATTCTACAAAAAAACATCCCATCCTATTGGCTGAATCATTTTCAAGATTTACTTCCCAGTTTCTCTGCCATACATTTAAAATTTTTAGAACTAAAAACTGCATTGACACAATATGACATTTACCTGATAGTTTTCTTAACTGTGAAACTTGACCCATGCTGAGGACATCAGATAAATCATTACAGTGTTAGGAAAAGTAATTTGATTAAATTAAGGAGAAGGTGTTACATTATTAATAAGTAAGCTAGCAAATTTTAGAACACTTATCTCACTCCTAATATTTCTTTAACATTTGATTTAAGTTTTAATATACATTTAATATAGTTTATTTTATTTTCTTTCCTAGAAAGACATCTCCTCTATGGAAGACCTGCAGTGCTTTATCGGACTCGATATGATATCTTGTATCACACTGACTTTGAAAGTGGTTATAGTGAAGTTTTCTTAATGCCACTTTGGACATCATATACTGTTTCTAAACAGGTCATTGAGAATATTGGAATTTATATTCTTCATTTATCACATTCCTCACATTAATACTGTGATTATTGCTTGCTTAAAAGAGCTTTCTCTTACACTTCATCCCCTTTTCTTCTTGATAAAAGAAATCCTATTTCATTTCATCCAGGATATTTTGATGTTCTGCTAGTTCCATGGCAATGCGTGAAATGATCATAGGGGAGCATGCTAATTCTTTTCGTTTTGTTTTTAACTCTAGTTAACTTTTGCCCAGTGCTTAAAGAAGCCATAATATGGGTTGCTTTATTTGTTTGCTTTAATAAATGTTGATTTTTTTAGAACAGTTTTCAGTTAGCACCAAGATTTAGTGGAAAATAGAACCCTCATTTTCCTCCTGTCTATACATAGCCCTATCCCGGCCAGCATCCTGTTTTATTAAAATACATTCAGCATCTTGATTGCATTTTAATAAAAGATATATGCTGGAATTTGATGAAGATGAGATATGTAGATAAATATCATAATTAGAAAAAGTAACTTGACAGTTGAAATCCATTCCTTAGTTTCTTTATATAAATAAAGAAAATATTTCTACTGCTCCCTTCTAGCTCCTTGTTGATTTGTACTATGTACACACATGTGTATACTCTTATGCATTCTGTATATGTTTTCTGTGCATATAGATGTACCTTTTATATATATATATATATCCTCTCTAAGAGTATTAGATTATTATTTCTAAGAGTTAGTTTTGTGGAATTCTCTTCATTATTTCAATGGCATGGTCATTCTTTATGCATTATTTTATAAAGACTTTGATAAAGTATTTCTGTAGAAAAGATAAGTTTTAAAATTGGCTTACTGTATTTAACCATAGGACCATTTTAAAGGATACAGTATCAGAATATTAACTGTGTCAAGACAGCAGGGTTTGGGCTAGGATAGTTTGCAAGAGAGCAATCTGGTGTGAGCATGTCCTCTGGAATCGGTTGTCTCTGTGGTAGAATTACTGACTGTCTCTGGCTTTTTAGGCTGAGGTCTCTGGCATTCCTGAGCATCTGACCAATTGTGTCCGTCCCGATGTCCGTGTGTCTCCTGGTTTCAGTCAGAACTGTTTGGCCTACAAAAATGATAAACAGATGTCCTATGGATTCCTCTTTCCTCCTTGTAAGTTACAGAGCATTAGGCTGTGGTTACGTTCTGGAGGGTGACACATGCTGGTTAGGGTTTTAGTGGCTCTGGTTTTCTTCAAGAGAGGCCATGTGAGAGAATTGTCTCCCCATTCCCATTACCCCACAAGTGACCAGAAATCTAGTTTTCCAGGATAATTCTAAAATGTAAGGGAAATTTAGTTTTCCTCCACACAAATGAGAAGCTGAGAGTGAAATAGTAAATCATGAAATAGTAAATCCTTTAAGTAATACTATAATGGTGGTGATCTCTTAAAGATATGTGGGACCTTTAGTTATCTCTCACGATCTAATGAAAATTTAAAAATTATAGTGATTTTTTTCCATTTTTAAAATTAGCATCAATTAGTCATTTTGATATGTCCATATATGTATAGAACGCACATTGATCAGACTTACTCCCTCTGTTAAAGGTTTTTAAAAATGTAAAGTGCACCAATGAAATCAAGTTCCTAAATAAAATATTTAGTAGTCTCAATAACCAAGAGGGAAGGAATTTTTTGAGAGAGAGCTATTAAGTGGGGGAAAAAGAGGTTGAATGGGAGGAAGGTAGAAAATATTGTCTAAAGGAGGTAATGAGTAAGAATAAAAAGTAGATTCATTTCCTCCCTGCTGTTTGGACCAGTTTAGAAGACTGTTTCTGCTGATGTAGATTTTGGTAAGCAACATACACTATTTGCTTTCTTAATGTTTAGATCTGAGCTCTTCACCAGAGGCTAAATATGATGCATTCCTTGTAACCAATATGGTTCCAATGTATCCTGCTTTCAAACGTAAGTCCAATGTTTGCCTAATAAACTGTTACTTATGAAAATAAATATTTCTAAATTTACCACTTACCTTGTCTACCTCTACATTAATTTTAATATTAATAATACCTTTCGTGTGTTTAACCTTTATAATTTTTGAAGACCTTTCATGTAAATGCTCTCCTGTTGACCTGAAATCTGAATCTGATGACACAGAAAGTGACCCAAGTCGTTAAGTGGTGGGAGCGAAGTTAAAGTGTGTGTTTTTCTTTTTACCTGTAGTTCTTTCTATTTTAATGCTTATAATTTTCAGGGTTAAAAAGGGTCTTCGCTGAATTTTGGTGGTCACTTGGTATTTATTTACTGAGCAGTACAGTAAAAGGTTCTTGCAGGGCTGTCCTTTAGCTCCTGTATTCTGAAAATTGATTCTGAATGTTGACCCCCAGCAAGAGCTTAAGGTCTCTTCAGATTCTACAGAGCTATGCAAATCGTTTTAGGGTTTTTGTTTTTTGTTTATTTTTTTTAAATTTGATGCTTGTCCTGGGGCTTGAACTCAGAGCCTGAGCACTGATAGAGCTCAAGGATAGAGCTCTACTATGTGAGCCACAGCTCCACTTTCTGACACATTTTTGCTAGTTAGTTGGAGATAAGAGTTTCATGGACTCAGTCTCCTGAGTAGCTAGGATTACAGGCGTGACCCCCTGACACCCAGCTGTTTTAGATTTTGTGTACAATTTTTTTTGTAAAGACATAAATATTTTTGGAAGCTAGTGATTCTGTGAACTATATAGATGCATTAAACCCTGGTCAACCAAACCAAATTTTAATCTCTGGAGTGGGACCACTGGTGATGTGAACATAAACATTACAGTTAAATTTTCATTGGTGCAATGAAGAGATTTTTATCACATGGCCTAGAAGTCTTAAAATGCATTTCCCAGTGGCCAAAGCAATCTGCTTTCTGATTCTCATAATAAATAATCTGTCCATTTGTCTATCCATCCAAAGATAGAGAAAGCATTATGAAATGATATCTATGGTCTTTTACTCTATTTGCAGTGAGTGACCTATGAGGTTATGGGACAGGTGGAAAGAGGCAGTTATTTCCTAACTGGCCTTGGTTTAGGAGGATTGGGTTATGTGACAGAACCTTAGATAATAGAAACAAGTGACTGCGGCAGACCATACGATACTACTGAAATGACTTCCATGAGTAGAGGAAAAAAATGTTTATTTGATGTCCTTTTTAGTGAATGAAGTCAAAGGTAGAATCTATTATCTATGAGTAAAAAGTAAAAATTTGTTGTTGTTTTTAAAGGTTTCCTAGTTTGTTCTGAGCCTTACATGACAAATGTCTCAGAAAGTCAGATATGTGTATTTATTTCAATGATATTTGGAAGACAGCTTCAGTTAATTGCTACAAATTAAGATTTCCTGGATTCCTTTATTTCTTATGGATGCACTCTTTTTTTGACCAGCCAGTAATAAAAGAAACACCACACAGCCTGAAGCTGGTGTGGAAAATTTGCTGTTCTCTTCTTTCCTGGGGGAATGCTTTCTTCAAATGCCAAATTTCTGCAAGTTTGGCCTTTTGCCTGTTCTTATTGTTGTTTCTCTCTCCTTTGCCCCCTCTATTTCTCCCTCTCTCCCTCCCCCCTTTTCGCTTTCTCTCTGTGTGTCTCTGTCTCTTTGTCTCTGTCTCTGTCTCTCTCCTCAAATTGACACTTGGTCTTTCTCTAGCTGTCTTTCTTCAAACATTGAACCCGAAGGAGCTCTGAAATCCCCGGAAGGAGTGACATTAGAGGGAGAAATGGATTGTAGTGGAGAAACCAGACATACAGGGCAGGGAATGAGTTTGGGCAGAAGGAAGAGCAAATCTAAAATCTTAGGTTGGAACAGGTACGGCAAAATTGGAGGAAGAAAACCTTATACATGAGAGAGAAAAAGAAGGAAGTAAAATCAGAGACAGGCAGGGCTCATGTATGGGAGTGAGGTTTTTATTTTAATTATAATGAAAAATTATATGAAGTATTTGAAATGGGTAGTATGATATAAATGTGTGAGAGAGACATAGAGACAAAGAGAAGAAAGAAGAAGAGGAGGAAGAACAGGAGGAGAGGAAAGAGGAAAAGAAGAAGAAAAGGAGGAAGAGGAGAGGAAGAAAGAAAAGAAGAGGAAAGGAGAGGAGAAAGAGAGGGATTTGATTTATGGTAAAAAAGGAGCTAGTCTTTTGTGGTAGTTCATTTCAGAGAGGATGGTAATTGGGCAGGCTAGAGAAAGCATTAAAAATGATGCCACCTGGCCAACTTTTGGATGCATGGATTGCATCTTGGAGACTCACTTGGGACTAAGCACATGAATGAGATCATAAAGGAAGCAAAAGAAATGGAAGGCCTTATTTCCATTGGCGCAGAAGCTCCATATCTTCTACATATCCAGTTCACTTGTTGGCATGTTCTGCATATTCTTCTTCACCTAGGAAACGCCTGCCCATCCATCCTTCAGATTCCAGCTCCATAATTTCATGTAGGCACTTCTCATAAGTTACAGTAACTCTATTTGCTCTTGGCTCATAGGATACATTCTAGAGGGAATTTTACCAAATCAAGGGGTCTGGTTCATGAAAACTGTTATTTGTCTTTGCACAGGGGTGTGGCATTACTTCCAAAGGGTATTGGTGAAGAAATATGCTTCAGAGAGAAATGGAGTTAATGTGATAAGTGGACCCATTTTTGACTATGACTACAATGGCTTACGTGACACAGAGGATGAAATCAAACAGTGAGTTTTTCATTTTCATCCAGGGTGTGATACTGACCATCCAAGACATCACTCAAGGCTGCTTTGTAAATATTCATATGTTAAGAAAGAGTTGATACTCCTTAATTTTTTCTTTGAATCATTTTCTTCAGTTTTTAAACATTTGATTAAATGTAGTTAGCATGGGATTTTGTGGTAAATAAAATTTCTACTGCATGAAAGAAAATATATGAAAATAGTTAACAATGATAATTTATTCTTCAACCACTCTTCAGTAAAAAGATGGTAATTTCTATTTCCATTGTTGGGGAGAAGTGGGAAGTTGTTTATATTTCTCATCCAATTTATCTCATTAGGAAATTGCATATAGCTTTTAGATGAATCTATTTGACTCTATCTCTGACCTCAGTGTTCCTAGGGGTATACAAAGATAAATTGTGAGCTCATAAGGAACTCACAGTCCATGTGGGAAATACAACAGGAGTCACACCACAAATCGAGAATAAGTTATCATTTGATATTACATATGCACGAGTTAATCAGCAGCACAAAATGTAAGAGAGGGTCTAGTTATGATTTAAAAATACTTAGCAAATAGTGATTTAAAAATATGATAGCATAAAATATATTTGATTCACTCATAAGAGAAACTTCATCTTACGTATACATTTATTTTATTGCAGAGCATTATGAGAATTTTTAGCCAAAATTAAGTTATTAGCTCAATCATGATTTCAATATTTGCAAGATGTTTAAAATTAAGATCATGGAAAGCCAGATGAGAAATTAGGGATGTCTCACCTTTTCTTTGGTAGAGTAGACTTGTGTACTATCAGGCTCATTGTTTGTACTCTGTCCCCAGCGCTTCAACAACTGGCAAATGACTTCTTCCTACTAAGTTTAGGATCTCATGGTAGATTGGAAGGGATATTATTGCCTTCAGTTCAGTGTCTCATCACTCTGGTTCATTTTCTACAATTCTACTCTTTATCTTCCTGAACTACAGCTGCAATAGTGACATTCTTTGTCACAAAAGCCTTCATTAGAGCATTATTGCCCAAATAGCAGGTCTGATGTACTTACTCCTCACCCTGGCACTTAGAACCTACCAAACCTACCAGAGTTTTCTTTGACTCTTCTGGCTTTTTTTTTTTTTTTTTTGTTGTGGGGCTTGAACTCTGGACATGGGCACTGTCCCTGAGCTCTTCAGCTCAAGGCGAGTGCTCTACCACTCTGAGTTACAGTGCAACTTCCCATTTTCTGGTGGTTAATTGGAGATAAGAGTCTCACGGACTTTTTTTCTGCCTAGGCTGGCTTTGAACCACGATCTTCAGATCTCAGCCTCCCGAGTAGCTGGAAGTGCAGGCTGAGACACCAGTGCCCGGCGTCTTCTCACTGTTTTTGTTCTCACAACATTGGTCTTTCTGCCATTTCCTGATTTCAAGTCTTGGATTGGAAGCCATTTCTTTTTTCCTGGAATAGCTTTCTCATATATCCAGGTAGAGAGAGAGAAAGAGAGAATTCTAGGCAGAAAAAAATTATGCTCAGAGATATAGAGTGAAAGATGACTCAGTTGAGTGGGAATTAATTTGCAAGATGTAGACAGTAATCATTGATTATTTACAAAAGGAAGGTTGTAATTGTGTTTCGCATTGCTGTTGCAGGTATGTGGAAGGCAGTTCCATTCCTGTTCCAACTCACTACTACAGCATCATCACCAGCTGCCTGGACTTCACTCAGCCTGCTGACAAGTGTGATGGGCCCCTGTCTGTATCCTCCTTCATCCTTCCCCATCGTCCTGAGAACGACGAGAGCTGCAATGTGAGTTCAAGGACACACATCCTTAGAATGCACTTTTGTACTTAGTATTTGCTTTTGAAAGTACATTCCCGGCACAGAACTAGAAACTTACCTATAAAGTGTGTGGATTATCCACCAAAGAGGACAGAAGAAAGGGCCCACATAGCATTATGTTTAACACACCACATGAGTATCTTGTCTGTTAATAGATTATAGAGTTTTATTTTTCATAGTGCATATATATGTGTATGTACATTAAGTATCAGCTCTATTGATGTGCTCAACTTTGACAAATGATGAAAAAGTCCAGATAGCTTCACAAAAGGGATCCATTTGCTTACTTATTTGTTTGTTTGTTTGTTTGTTTATTTTCTTACTTATTCACTTACTGGTACCAGTACTGGGGATTGAACTCAGGACCTGGGCACTGTCCCTGAGTTTATTCGTCTCAAGGCTAATGCTCTGGAACCAGAATTCTATTTCTGGCTTTTTTTTGGAAGGGAACATAAGAATCTCATAGACTTTCCTGTCAGGTCTGGCTTCAAATTGCAGTCCTCCAATCTCAGCCTCCTGGGCAGCTAGGATTATAGACATGGCCACTAGCACCTTGCTGTAGCCTATATTTTTAATGCCAATTTGGAAACCAGATTTTAGCATATGAGAGCTTGGTGAGAACACCCTTCCACCAAAATTGGCAAGTTACTTCCTAAGGAGAGAAGTAGCAAAACACTGCTTTCGTTCTTTCTTTTTGAGGTTTTATAATTCTACTTTGCTATAATGTAAATTGGGGAAAGCCTTCCTCCCCCATCCACACGTTTAAATGATTGCATTTACAAAGGAAATTTTGGACTCACTGACCATTTAAAAAAATCAAACAAATGCAATATGAATATTCTCTCAAAAATACAACCTCATGCTTATTCTGCTTACTCGGAGGGGTTCCTGACCCATCTGGAGACCTCCTACTTTGTTAATTATATGGTCACACTGAGGATCGGTCAGTAGCATTGTGGGTAATGTTATATTTAGGTCTTTCCTGTGGATTGCAGAGATCTTGGTTAGTTTGGGTAGAAGGGTGGAGTGTGGAAGGCTAAAGTCCTTACTTCTTCAGCCTGCAAAGCAATTTCTTCCCATTTCTTCATTTCTCCTGAGATGGCCGGGCACTGGCTTTCTGAACCAACACCCTCATGGTACATATTTAGTTAGGCCTGGCACAAGCTGCTGGAGCTCCCTGTCCAGGTCTGTGTGGTTGAAGCTTTCTGAGAAAACCTTTGCAGGTTCTTGGCTTTTGGTCGGTAGCTCACTGAGACCATTAGTGGTCAAGAGTTGGGGAAGGGCATGTCTGAACACTTTTTGCTTTGGGACATGCAGCCACCTTTTGACTTCTAGAAAGACTCTTGGGGGCCATTGCAATCCAGGGGCTTTAAGGAGTAGAATCCTTCATGAAGGCTCTCCTGCTCCTCTTGATAAGGAAGGTAGCTTCAGCTCATAACTCATATGTCTCCCTGCTATTATCTTTTTCCTTCTTTCCAATATTAAATCTTTCTGAGACCCAAAGAACTGTTTCTCCTGAATTATCTTTTAGTTTCAAGCTAGACATGAAATGGATTGTTCAGTGTAGGACAGCTGAGCCATCCACCTGGAATTGTGCCATGCAGCCCATTTTATGAAAGACATTGCTTACCTTTCTTCCATGATGTTTCTTTACTGCATTTTCCTTTATTTCTTCCTCTTTCTTTTTTTCCCCTCTAACTCCTTCTGGAGTTAGCCTTATTGACTGGTCTGTCAGGAAATGAGATCTTGTGAGAAGAAATGACTTAACCAAGTTCTCATAGCCAAGAGTCACATTTCTAAGACTTCAGTCCCAAAGCACCAACTGCAGCACCCGTGTTGTATAAAGTCAAATTCATTGAAATAGGAATTCATTGCCATCCAGCAGAGGATGTAGATGATATAGTGGGTTCTTTTGAACACTCTTAGAAGGCACATACATCAATATGCATTAGGTTTCAGCTCTTCACTTTCCTTGGGAAGCAAAAGACAGTGCAAGTTACTCGTACTCTGTGTTCACTCTTGCATTTGACAGCCAACAAAGGAAACAAATTATTGAATTCTCAAGGTCTATGGTTTTCCTAATTTTGATTTATATTCCCGGAACCTACTGAGAATAGAGCCTTCTCAGACCACATCTCATTTATTTGGAACAGCTAATTGCTGTTGAAAATGTTTGCAGCCAAGGGCAGGTACTTGCGGTATATTACCAATGGGAATGCAGTAGAGTGATGGGAAGGTCAGGGAGGAAGGAACGACATGCACTGGGTCTGTGTAGCAATGTGTAACAGGTCATTTGTGGACAGGAAGCAAAGTGACCATTTAGAGAAGCTGCTTGGAAGATCCTGACTCTGGTTGCTCTATTTCTTTTTCTTTGAAAAATTATCTTTAAGTAGTTATACAAAGGAGTTGTTATTTAACAAAGCAGTTTATGAATACATTGCGTCTTGCTCAATGTCAACATTTCAACATTTCAACACCCATTCCTCTCTTACCCACCCCTTCTCTCAATCTTCTTAAATTTGTAGGATATTCATTGAACTTTTGACTGCATTTCCCCCTTCTTTTCTTCATTCATCTCCTCCTTTCCCCTTGGCTCCACACCTCACCCCTCAGAAGTAGCCACTTCCTGGTGTTTCTTTTGTTGAACTTTGATTTTCCTTTCAAAGAAACAACATGATTTGAGTTTTCCCTTTAATCAATTAATTCCTTTGTAGACACTTGTGTACCATACTTATAGGTTTACAAACTAAATCTAGCTTATACATATAAAGGAAAACATACATCCTTTATCTCTTTGGGCCTGACTTATTTCCCTTAATATAATTGTTTCCAGGTTTTTCCATTTCTTTACAAATGATACAATATCAGTTTTTCTAATAGATGAGTAAATAGATGTATATATGCCTCATTTTCTCGATCCATTTGTCCATTGAGGGGCATATGAGCTAGTTCCATACCTCACCTATGGTGAATAGTGCTGCATCGAACATGGTTGTGCTGGTGGCTTTACTGTGTCTTGGTTTGTAATCTCTATTTCTATTGCAGAGCTCAGAGGATGAGTCGAAATGGGTAGAAGAACTTATAAAGATGCACACAGCTCGAGTGAGGGATATTGAACATCTCACCAGTCTGGATTTCTTCCGAAAGACGAGCCGTAGCTATTCAGAAATTCTGACTCTCAAGACATACCTTCATACCTATGAGAGTGAGATTTAATTTTCTGATCAGTGCAGTGCAGTCTTATCAACTGGTGTATATTTTTATATTATGTTTGTATTTATTAATTTGAAACCAGGACACTAAGAAAAACACTTAGTATTTTGATCCTGTACCAAATCTGACAATATTAAGCTTGAATGACTCCACTGTTTCTTATCTAATGCTTGATTTAGATAGTCCTGTGTTCCGAGTAGAGCTTGTAATAAATACTGCAGCTTGAGTTTTTAGTAGAAGCTTCTAAATGGTGCTGCAGATTTGATAATTGCATTGAGGAAATATTCATTTTCCAATGCACCATTGCCACATTTAGTCCTGTACTGTATCAAATCTTGATTTTTGTAAAGTTGCATTCATCTGCTATTTACTGTAACGGTCATATTTAAACCTTATAAACCAATCTTAACTATAATAAATCACATATTCAGTTTTCTTCTGGTTTGGTCTGGCCTTTATTTATAAATGAGAACGTTTGCTTCAGGTGTATGCATCAATGAAAGAATCCATTTTTTAGTACTCAGTCCTTATCCAGATACTTCCTTGATATTGAATTATAGAGACCTGGATGAGATGGGTTAGCTGTGTGTCTATGAGCAATCAGAAAGGCAGAAAGAAAAGGAATCAGAAAACTCCTGAACATTTTCTCCTAACTCTTTTCTAAAATACTTTGATGTTTCAAGAATATAGTGGGTGCTTTTGGACAGTACTAGAATTCACACACATAATTTCATGCATTAGGCACCAGCTCTTCGCTTTCCTTCCAAAGCAGAACATCGCAAATTACTTGTGCTCTGAGTTCAATCCTGCATTTGACAGCCAACAAAAGAAGCAAATTATTGAATTATCCATAGTCAATGGGTTGCCTAATTTTGTCTTCTTTTATTATTTATTTATTTTTGTCAATCTTGGGGCTTGAACTCTGTGCCTGGGAACTGTCCCTGAGCCTCTTTGTGCTCAAAGCTAGCCTTCTACCACTTGAGCCACAGCACCATTTTCAGCTTTTTCTGAGCAGTTCATTAGAGATAAGAGTCTCATGAACTTTTCTGCTCAAGCTGGCTTTGAGCCCCCAGATCTCAGCCTCCTGAGTAGATAGTGTTACAGACATGAGCCACCAGTGCCATTTTGTTTTATATTTTTAATCAAACTGATTCAAGATTCTTAAGTAGTAGACCCAACTTGAATATTATTAAGTATATATGGTACACAAGGCATCCACCCAAGAACCATGGAGGATATAAAGAGAACTGCTAAGGTGAGCAATGTATAGACGTGCATATGTTATTAAGCAGTTATGGCAGGGAATAATAAATGCCAAGTGACAACTGTTATTCACAATATAATATGGCAGAGGGTCTGAATGGCATGTAGGGTGATTTTAATAGTATATAGTTATGTCTTTAAATAATAATGATGTGTGGAGCCACTAAGTCATTCAAAAACTTTCAGTCTTTCTGACTGTCATGGAGAATGATTGTAGTTGTTACATTAGTGTTCTTACTAATCTACTAGACTGATGTTGTCATATTTCTAATAGTTGCTAATATCATAGTAATTTATTTTCATGATGGTAATTATTATAATTAGTCTTTTCTATGGTCAGTGAAATAAGTTTTTGTTTCTATAAATTTTCCTTTAAAATACATGAGCTTTAGAAAGATAATGTGTCATTGCATTGGAAGCAGGAATAGCTGAGCACCTGGAGCTCCTACCTATTATGTTACTCAGGAGCTGAGATCTGAGAAGCTCAGTTCAAAGCCAGCCTAAGAAGACAAATTGAAGAGATTCTTCTCTCCAATTAACCAGCAAAAAGCTGGAAGTGGAGATGTGGCTCAAGCGGTAGAGCGCCAATATGAGCTGAAATACCATGTGAAAGCAAGAGGCTCAGAGGTCAAATCCCAGGAAGGGCACGTGCACTTACGTGCACACACTCATAACACACATAGGAAAATGTGTGATGTGTAATGCTGAGAATACACAAAAAAAAGTCATGGCAGTGGTAAGAGAAAACCTGAAGCTTGAGAAACACAGCTACAGGACAGCCCTGGAAGGCGTGACTGTGGCGCTGCTGATAGCTGCATCTCGGAACACACACCGTTCTCCAGGTGTGTCTGGCTCTTCATACTCATCGCCTCCAACCACTGAAAAATGGGAGCTCAGGAAGACTTGGTTGAAGAATGGGGCTGGGATGGGGAAGGATGCTTGAATTGGGTTTTGGAGTTCAGGGTAGGATGTCGGTAACGTAGAAATAAATGGATTATGAGCCGGGCGCCGGTGGCTCATGCCTGTAATCCTAGCTTCTCAGGAGGCCGAGATCTAAGGATCGCTGTTCAAAGCCAGCCCGGGCAGGAAAGTCCGTGAAATTCTTATCTCCAATAAACCACTAGAAAACTGGAAGTGTCGCTGTAGCTCAACTGGTAGAGTGCTTTCCTTGAGCTAAAGAGCTGAGGGACAGTGCTCAGGCCCAGAGTTCAAGCCCCATGACCGACAAAAATAAATAAATAAATAAATGGATTATGGTTTATTATCCACTCAACGTTCAACAATAAGTTATTGAAAATCTATTATACTTCAGTACCTTTATTTGCCATTAGAGATTAAAGCATCAAATAAAATAAACATGGGTTCTGAACTAATAGAACTTACTTTTTATTGAAAGAAGGAGATCCTATTAGAAAGCTCTCAGGTTTTACAGGGTAAGTGCCACAAAAGATTTAAATATGTGGAGTGACAAGGGAGCAAGGAAGGAAACAAGTGTTGTAGATAATATTCTAGCTAAGGCCTTGGGGGAAGAACTAGCCTTGAGAAGAACAGAGATGAGAAAGAAGAGGGATCAAGAAGGACTGGTACTTTGAAAGGTCAGTGTGAGGATGTTTACTGTGAGTTTGAATGCAATAGCATCAAGGTAAGTAGCACCAACTTTAGGTCTCATCCAGGGCTGGTTGCCCAGTTCAGGCATTTTTTAATTCTATTTAAAGTAAAATGAAGCCTGGTATGATGGAGCACACCTGTAATTACAGCACTGCTGAGAGAAAATGAAAGTTGGAGATCAGTTTAGGCTATGTAACAAGACCCTGTCTCAAAAGAGAACAAAATATAGCCCCCTTCCCCCAAGAAACTAAAACCATAAATAATAGTTAAAAGTGCAATGGAAACTAATCAAAAAGTCTCAAGCAGAAGTATAGTAGGATATGATTTTCAAATTTCACAATATTGACATGGATATGTAATAATGAAATACTACTTTCTGGATACAAAACAGATATTAAAGAAGGTTTACTTATTAATGGCTATCATTGTTTCTCCTGAGTAGCCTTGTGTGAGATTTTAAAAAGTAGTCGCAAGCTCCTCGCTAAGCTAGATTTCTCTATCACCTGATTGAAGTCTATTCACAATAGCTTACACCTAAAGCTCTTTGAGAGAATTGTTGCCAGTTCAGTTGAGTACTGCTGCTCTAGTTTTGTTCTGAGGCTAAATCTTCCATTCTCACAAATAAACTTAATGCCCAGAGAGAACATCCCACCCCTGTGGATTTCAGGTAAGTGGCTGATAAACACATCATTAATTGTGGAGTTATTTATGAAAGTCCCTGAATGGGAAGGGACTCTATTAAAATGGGGTCTAGAAGACTATTTTCCATTAAAAAATATGTTGAGACCTTACTCCATTCATACTTTCATTGAGCAAGTAGCAAACCACTCACTAGCATGGTGGTCCTGTTTCTGTGGATGGGTTCAGAAACTGCCTCTTTGAAATGAGTTCATTGTAATGGGGTAAACCAGGAAAGCAGCCTCCTCATAGTTTCCCAGAGGGTGAAAACATTCTGGATTGTTTATAAGAGGGTTGACTTTTGAAAGAAATCTCTGAACAAAAGCAGTACTGGTGCCAGATTGGTTTGTGTAAGGCTGCCCAAGAGCCACAATGCCTGACTTCCTGTTCCCATTACTCCTTGTAGTGGTTGGGAAGATGGTGGCTGCGAATGAATCCAAAGGAGTTCTTCTAAACTGTTTACACTTCTCTTACTTGAGCTCTGCCGTAGCTCTGCTGTAACTCGCTGCTGAGTCAGGACCAGGTTGATCTGTGGGTGGGAAGTGGGAAAGGTAATAAAAGTTCTCCGTGGCTTTGAGGAGAGGTGTTGTGTGGGACCATGAGGAACAAAATTCAGACATTCAAGTTTAAATGCTTGGGTATAGAGAGCTCTGCTGGAGGCCCAGCTGGGTGGTAGAGGTTCCTGTTGGGCTTTATTTCTAGGAAATGACTCTTCTTGTCCAGGATGTACAGCTCTGGAAGGAATGCAAATATGAGAAAAAATAAAGGACTCTTTTTCCTCCTTACTTCCTTCCTTTCTCCCATCCCCTTTTCTCTCCCTCTCTCTCTCTCCCTCCCTCCTTGTTTTCCTTCCTTCCTTCCTTCCTTCCTTCCTTCCTTCCTTCCTCCCTCCCTTCTTTCCTTCCCTTTTTTCTTTTTCTCCTTTTCTCTCTGTCTTCTCTTCTTCCTTCCTTTTCCTCTTCTAGCTTTGTCAAAATAAAATTGACAATCTGCACGTTTAAAGTATATAATTTTTTGTTGTTGTTGTTGGTCGTGGGGCCTGAACTCTGGGTCTGGGTTCTGTCCCTCAGCTCTTCAGCTCAAGGGTCTACCACTTGAGCCACAGCACCACTTCCAGCTTTTTCTGCTTATGTGGTGCTGAGGAATCGAACCCAGGGCCTCATGCATGCAGGGCAAGCGCTCTACCACTGAGCCACCTTCCCAGCCCTAATTTTTTGATTTTTATCAGTTTTAACACACAAGTCCACCCATGAAGCAACAGATGTCAATTAGAATCAAACATTTCTTCATCTCCCTTGGTAAACCCCTTTCATTCCCAAACCACACCATCCTCTCCTCAATTTCCAAACCCTGTTTTGCTTTCTGAAACTAATAGATTGGTTGACATTTTAGAGTTCCTAGTCTGGCTTCCTTTCCTTAGTAAAATTATTTAAAGTATTCCATTTAACAATAGTACGTTCCTTTTTAATTGTTGAGTAGTATTTTATTGTATCAATGTACAATTTCACTTTTGGAAATACGTAGATGTGAAAGGCTTGATATTCTTCAGTAATTTTTTTTAACTGCCAACTGTTTTCCAAAGTAGTTGTTGTGTGTAACATTCCTACAAGCAGTGAATGAGAATTAACTTTTTTTCTATACTTGATGTGTTATCTTTCATTTTAGCTACTCCAAAAGATGTATCGTGTTATTTTAATATGTTTATTTGTGCTCCCCTGATGCCTATCAATGTTGAGCGTCTTTAGATTAGAGTATTTGCCATATGCATATTTTGTGTAGGAAATGTCTGATAACATATTTTAGTCATTAAAAATTGAATTGAGCCGGTGCCAGTGGCTCACGCCTGTAATCCCAGCAACTCGGGATGTTGAGATCTCAGGATTGTGG